TAATGCAACCACTAAGACCAAGAATTAAATAGATAGTATTACTATCCTGATGATGGTGATGATGATGATAATAATAATAACAACAATAATAATAGTCTTGCTATCGTCAAAGGCATCAGCCACAGGCGATATCTCTGAATATCGTCGATACACGATACTATCGTCTATTGGCACAACCCTAATGCAGCCATTTATTGCTGTTGAGCTATAAGCCCCGCCTAAAGACACACACTTACACACACACACTTGTGATTCTAAGCTCTTGGTTCTGTATGTACTCGTTTCCCTTTACGAGAGGAGGAGAGTGTGAGAGGGGTGGGCTTCAGCGACTGTATTATAACGACCGAATCACACTGAATTAGCGTAACTTCATGGCCAAGGTAAATGCGGTAGACTTCCTGAACTTTTGACCAGTCGCCTCCATCAGGTAACAGCTCTACAGCTTTTGTTATCGGTCTACATCGTTTCCACTGCTTTCTAATTTACTGAAGAGGTTCAATTGAGCGCTGAGGTTAACTGCGTAACGTTAGTTGTTTTCTATCTGGCTATTGTTTTTGGAAGTATTTCGCTTGGCACCCGGCGTCACCGCAGCGGTTGAAGAGCACAAGTGTTCGGCTGCTGAATGTAGGCCAAAGGGCATGAACAAAAGCGCAATAACTGAGTGAGTTTCCTCCTTCTCTGTATGCAGATCCTCAGGGACAACGTCTCTGCTCCGTGACGATAAATAGTTCGTGCTTCAAGGTTGCTTCAAGTGCTGCTTGTGGTTAAGTAGAGGCAGGTTATTTAATAAACGAATACGTTTGACTTTTTTTTTTAACCTGCCTCATCCTAGATAACATGCCGCCTGTCACAATAAAATGAAAATATTGTATCACATGAATTTGATTCATGTTGGTTTCATAAATTTTTTAAAGAAACAGTTTTATAATTTTTTACAAATTCTTAAATATTTGAGTTTTTTTATTTGAATTATCAAAATATATTTAAAAATAAAAATATTTTTACAAATATCATTTTGATATTTATTTTTACATTTTAGAGTCACGCACAAGACATTTTTTAAAATGTTGTTCCATTTGACCTAAAACATGCATTTTCTTTAAAAGGTCAAATAAATATATTTAATAAATAAATTACCTTGAGCAGTCCTGAGGGTCTGAAGGGGTCCTCGTTTGTCACATGACAAAAACATTGATTGTGTTACTGACTTTGATTTGGCGGATGTTTTTGTTATTCATTTTTTGTTCTATTAGTAATATTTTAAAACAAAATTGTTTCACTGTTTATTTTCTTAAAGAAATAATAAACCGTGCCAAATACCAATCACTTTTTTTTTACAATCTTCAGACAGTTACACCACCTAAAAATATCAAAACATACAAAAAGACTTTGTTCTTCATAGAAGGCTTTTTTTTTGCTCGTTTGTTTATTTAAATTTCATCTTTAATGTATTTTTGTTTAGAGCAATACCTTACGTTGCAATGATATTGAACATGTATGCCAAATGTGTTTATTACAGACTGTCAAGACTTTTCTTGTCTTTTTGCAGTTTTTTTCACCATGAACGTTTGGCAGTATAAAGAAAGCAATACTTTATCATAACTTTAATTAAGATCACCAATGTGACATTATATTAGCTTAACAGAGGATTGCTTCAAAAGTTAGTTAATAGTGAGAAATGTCTTGAAAATGTAGGTTCTTTTTTAATATATCTTATCCACGGACCCCCTGGAGTATCTTCACGGACCCCCAGGTGTCAATGGGATCATTAAGAAACTGTAGCGGTCTGCTAACATTTTTCACATATTATAAGGGTCACAGCACAAGAAATGAGGGTAAGAGAAGGGAATGTGACTAAGCACCCTGCAGTGCCTCCTGTTTTGGGGACACAAGATTATTTCAGCTGTGAGGAGTTGTGCAAACAGCATGTACCCATTGACCTCTGCATTTAATTAAAAAAACCTTGAGTAGATTATTTTTTTTAATTCTACCAACAAATTCTAATTGAGAACAAAAATGCTTTTAGATCGAATATGTATGTACTCTGCAGTCTGTCTTAGCAGTTTTTGTTTATTGACACTCAAGGCTAAATGTCTGGGCCAACATTTTGTTTCTATTAAATAAGAGTGGTATGGTCTTCAAAAGTAACTGAAGACGCTATTTAGACGCATAAAAACAGTGACAAATGCATTTAAATATAGGTGTGAATTACAGTTTTGAATTTATAAGAAAATTTGAGTGTGTATTCTTCCAGAGATTATGCCCAACTTTAATGGAAAATCTTAATTTATTGTTTCGAAAATAGAATCTGGTGTTTTAATAAATGTCTTTGTCAGATCCATTGTGGCAAGTATGTTCTTATCTAGTGATATCACACTAAAAGGTTCAAATTAAAAAATGAAGACCAGCCACAAAGGTGTGGTTGATGTCCGTCACTGCTTTGGAAAAGTGGAAACTTGTTCTAACTTTGACCATAATTATTTGAAAGCCTCACTGCCGGTGTAAGAGCTGCAACAACCAGATGGTACTGAACAAAGACTCATTGCTGTTTTTGACCTTTACATGTTTCAATAACCGCTCTGTTCTAAACTTTGTTTGTGCTTCTCTGCCATCAATGTTTTGACAGATGTTTGCTTTTCTTTTTTTTTTTGCAGTGACATGGAAATGCAGCATGATCCAGATTTGCAGTTTAAACTGGCTTATCCAGATTCAGAAAGAATCGACACAGGCATTAAAACCCGAGCGAGAGGCCAGTGGTCCAGTAAAGTGGAGTTTATCTTAGCTGTTGCTGGCCAGATCATTGGTTTGGGAAATGTGTGGAGATTTCCATATCTGTGTTACAAGAATGGAGGAGGTTTGTACTATGGTTTTACTGTATTACTGTGAGCTCTATTAAAAATCCATTCGAACCAGTTCAATGTTTGTTTGTTTATTTATTTTTTGGCCTTGTGTCTTGTACTAGTGTGGTGAACATAAACTGTCTAAGAACAGATACGGTTTTCTGTTTTTAGGAGTGTTTTTCATTCCATATGTGGTCTTTCTGTTTGCCTGCGGCATTCCTCTTTTTCTTATGGAGACTGCTTTGGGTCAGTACACCAGCCAAGGGTCTGTTACCTGTTGGAGGAAGATCTGCCCACTATTTGAAGGTGAGTTTTCATTGTTCACTTTTAATGTCATTGTTAATGTACAATAGAGTAAATGCTGTTGTATGTCAATTACAGTGCTGTAAAATTAGATGTGTGTAGTAAACATGTGTAGATTAGTGGTTTAGTAGACACCCAGCACACATCAGTAGTGAACAATAGTGGTCTGAAATGTGAGAGGCTTCCTGTTTAAATATTAAATATTGTACCTTAAATATTAAGGTACTTTTGTACTAACCACAGTTTTGTAAAGTTTGTCATACAAGTATGTTTAAATAACTTATGAACATATTCCTTTTCTAATGGGTCAGCATCCTCTATTTATGCGTTCAAAATTTGTTTTGCTTTTGGTTTCTTGAAGTATCATCTCTCCATATTTACAGAAAATGTCAGGATGAAAACGTCTCGGGTTACTTATGTAACCATGGTTCCCTGAGTAGGGAACGAGACACTGTGTCCTCTAGGGGTCACTATGGGGAACGCCTCGTCGTGACCCGTGTCTGAAGCATACCTAAACGCTTCGCTAGTGCTCGCCATAGTAGGAAAGAAAAAGCTCTTACTTTGCTTTTTGGAATGCACGCTTCAAACAGACCGGTCAATGAAGACGAAGAAGAGAATGATGTGTGCTCCCGGCGCCTATTTGTACTATAGTCGCACCGGTAGTGACGTCATGGCTGTCGCCGGCCAACGAGTTGGTGTTTTTTCAATGTATGCTTCAGACACGGGTCACGACGAGGCGTTCCCCATAGCGACCCCTAGAGGACGCAGTTCAAAGTTCCCATGAAAGGGAACCACATACTCTTCAACTTCTTGTTGAATTTCCCAGTTTTAAGTAGTTTTCTAAAGCCATTACTTTTACTTTTTGTAAAATGTGCAGTTATTTCTAATGATATAATCTAGTAATGAATTAATACTTGTAATAAACCTGTATGAAATTGTGTAAGGTTTATGCAACAAAACAAAAAGAATTAAAGCACCCACTTTGTGAGAAATTTGGATTTTTACTTTTACAAAATACTATAATAATCCACAAAAAAATTGATTACTTATGCAAAGTTAAGCTTCAAAAATAGAACAAAAACAAAAAACTGTTAATTCGAATGCGGATAAAAAGCTGCTTGCTCTCAGCCTCCACGCCTGCATTTCATTTCCCAATCTTATTCCCAAATGCTAAAATAAGTCACCCATAAATAATTCATTTGTTTAATAAATTTGTGATTCGTAATTCCAAGTCAAGCAATGGTCATAAATTAAATAGGTGTTTCATTTTCAAATATTTTGTTAATTCATAATTCTTCAAAAATAATTCATAATAAATTATTGATAAACAAATACTTATTTAACTTTAACTTATATACAGTAATAGTATGTAATATGGATCTCTCCAACACATTTAAGCTAAACATCAAACAAGCTGGTTTAAAAGGCTGATCTGTTATTGTCAGCAAAAGAAACGGGGTTAATTGTTTTGGCTTGCTTTTCTTTAGGTCTGGGTTATGGGAGTCAGGTGGTTGTCTTCTATTCCAGTGCCTACTACATCGTCATTTTGGCCTGGGCTTTCTTCTATCTCTTCTCTTCTTTTAGTGGTGAACTGCCATGGGCTAGCTGCAGGAACTGGTGGAATTCAGGTATGTTATAAAACTAGTTACTTTTTCGTTTTCAATAGATCGTGCTTTTTATAAACAATTCCCTTCATCCTTACAGAAAACTGTGTTGAGTTTGACCGAATAGGAGGGACAAGAAACCTGAGCTTTATGGAGAATGCATCATCACCTGTTAAAGAATTTTGGGAGTAAGTTTATAAAATACCCAAACATTAGTTAGTTAGTTTATTTAAAATGAGTAAATGATTAAATTAATAAGAGCTTAAAGGTCATAGTGGTTAGACTGCACCCCATAAACACAATCAAGCCTAGGAAAAAAAACAGTGAACCACCCCTTTAAAGGTTCTATAGTGAATATAAAACTTTCCAGTTATGCTCTGCTTTAATTATTAACTGTGGTGAGCAATATGTGCTTCTTTAGGGGGCCATATTAAAATCACATTTATGATAATTTAAAGTACAAGTAGTGCAAGTATAATCAATTTAAAGGGATAGTTCACCCAGAAATGAAAATTACCCATCATTTACTCACTGTCAAGCCATCCTGGGTGTATATGACTTTCTTCTTTCAGACGATTACAATCGGAGTTATATTAAAAAATGTTCTGGCTATTCCAAGCTTTATGATAGTAGTGAATGGTGTCCGAGATTTAAAAAAAAAAAAAAGTGCATCCATCCATCATAAAAGAGCTCCACACGGCTCTGGGGGGGTTAATAAAGGCCTTCTGAAGTGATTACTGTTTATAAAGTTTTAAATATGGATATTTTTCTTACACAAACACATCGATTTGCTTCAGAAGGCCTTTATTAACCCCTCGAGCAATGAGGAGTACTTTTTATGATGGATTTATGCACTTTATTTTGCTTCAAAATCTCAATCACTATTCACTGCCATTATAAAGCTTGCAAGAGCCAGGACATTTTTTTATATAACTCCGATTGTATTCGTCATATACATATTAGTCATATACACCTAGGGTGGCTTAAGGGTGAGTAAACCATTGGGCAATTTTCATTTCTGGGTGAACTATCCCTTTAAATACCAAATGTGTAATGATACTAAATGCAAGCATAACTTTCAAGTGTAATTCTTGTTGATACAAGAATTTGAAAATAAAGTTATGGGAATTAAAAAGAATGTATTTTGTAGGAGGCGAGTATTGAATATAACTGGAAGTGTGAATGAGCTGGGCAGTTTGAGATGGGAGCTGGCTCTGTGTCTCCTGCTGGCCTGGATCAATCATTCTGAGGTTAAATACATATTTAAAATAATAACAAGAAATAGCTATGATACTGTTTTTGAAATCAAATCTTTGCATATAGCTATGATCAGAAACACTGGAATCTAACAATACCTTAGAAAAAAAAAAAGTTAATCTTAAAAAAAAAAAGCATATACATAAACCCTATCGGATAAGCATGTTATTAACTTCTAAAACATTGGTGTTTCATATTTTAGAGCAGTCACTGCAGTTTATGAAAGAACTCAATTAAATCTGTATGTGGGAGTGTGTGTGAAAAAATCAGATGTAACCCCCTTTGTAATCCTTAACATTTTCATAAGTAACTGTAATTTAATTACACATTTTTTCTTAGTAACTGTAACTGATTACAATTACTTTTATTTTGTAATTAAATTACGTAATTCCGTTACATGTAACTAGTTACTCCCCAACACTGTATATATATATAGAGAGAGAGAGAGAGAGAGATTTAAATCGGGTACGCTGGATTTCAAAACGGGAGTGCCCTTGTCTTTATTTTTCAGGTTGTGTATTTCACTGCTACATTTCCATATGTTATGCTGCTGGTGCTTCTGATTCGAGGTCTTACGTTGCCTGGAGCCATTGATGGCATCACCTTCTACCTCTACCCAAATCCAGCACGCCTTACAGACCCACAGGTAGGCAAATCTTAAGTCTCATATGAGTGCTGATGGCAGTAGAGTAGATGATTAAGCATTTTTCCACTTAAAGACATTTGCAACTAAAGAAATGAATAGTACTTTGGTCAGTACTTTTGTTTACAATGATGTACACTCACATGACCATCAGACCAGTCAAATCAGTGGCCTAGAAAAACTAGTTCCCCTTTCATGATGGCCGCAATATTGAGATCACCCGACCAGTCTGATGTTACTCATTTAACTTGCTTATTTCGCAAGTTTATTATTAAACATCTTTAGTTGAGGAATAAATTAATAACAGATTTACTGGTGAATAGTGTATTTCTTTTAACTATGTAATGATGCATCCACATCTGTCAGTGCCACTATAACTGTACAAGACTACGGTTTTATCAGCCAGTGACACAAAAATACTTGGAGCTTATAGTAAACACAAGTTAGTAAAAATTATTTGTACAACTGATTAAGCTTTTGAAATAACTAATCACTAAATAACGAATTATCAGTGAAACCAAATCATTCAAAAACATAACTTGGATGTTTCTGAGTGTAACCAGACCAGACCCTTCATGTGTCATGTATTGCTAAATACCTAATGGATTGGTCAGTAGTTGTGAACTTGCCTTCTCTTGTCTTTAGGTATGGATGGATGCTGGAACACAAATATTTTACTCTTACGCTCTCTGCATTGGGTGCCTTACAGCTTTGGGAAGCTACAATAAATACAACAACAACTGCTACAAGTAAGCAACCCCATTGTCATGAGAAACCGCATTCAATTCAATTTACATTTAAATCCATATATGTGCGTTTAGAAATATTTGTGGAGGCAATAGATGTTCTTATCTGTATATATGCAGGATTAAATATCAGAAGTACTTTATGCAGTCAGACATTACATTCGCTTTGACAGCATGCTTTGTCTTTCTGCTTGTAGAGATTGTGTTTACCTGTGCCTGCTGAACAGCGGAACCAGTTTTGTAGCTGGCTTTGCCATCTTTTCAGTTTTGGGCTTCATGGCCTTCGAACAGGGGGTCGATATCTCAATGGTAGCAGAGTCAGGTAACTTAAACAACAGTGTCTTCTTTATGTCATGTCCTTTATGTCATTTTCTACACATTAAGGCTCAATTCACTTGTTTTGCCAGGTCCTGGCTTGGCCTTCATTGCATATCCACGAGCTGTAGCTATGATGCCTCTGTCTCAGCTGTGGTCCATATGTTTCTTCCTCATGATTATTCTGCTGGGGCTTGACAGTGAGGTGAAAGCACATCATCTCTCAAGTACATGATGTGTTTGACTGTGAAAATTTCAGTTAGGTTTTTATTAACTACTGCCCAGATGAAGCTATTTAGCATAGCAGATATATTCATATACTGTATCCTGTTGAAAAGTACCCTTTGTTCATGACTTTTGTGCATGCAATATACTTTCAGTAAATGTGTTATGCAACTTTTTCAAGGCAGTACTACGTTAAAAACAAAACACTGTCATTACACCTCATTCTCTTTTTCAGTTTGTGGGTTTAGAGTCTCTCATGACAGCCATAACAGACATGCACTCCAACTTCTTCCTCCAAGGACATCGTCGTAAACTCTTCCTCCTCCTCATTTGTGTGGGCTGCTTCCTCGTTGGCCTCCTGATGGTAACCGAGGTGATTATGTTCATAATTTGGTCATTTCTGTGGGTTTGTTTTGTTTGTCTGTCTAAATTAGACCACTTAATGACTAATTTAAAAATCTGAGATTTGAGCTCTGATCAATGTGATCTTTTTTGCATTGATTCAATAGGGTGGCCTGTATATCTTCCAATTATTTGATTACTATTCCTGCAGTGGAATGACCCTCCTCCTATTTGCCATTGCACAGTCAATATGTATTGGCTGGTTTTATGGTGAGTAATAATACTGAATCAGCACTTAAGAGCACAGAAGATCTATAAAAAAAGAATTTAAAACCTTTTAATACCTTGCACAACTGAATATTATAATGTTCTTCTCCAATATTTGATCATCATTTGTTAAATTACTGCAGGTTTTTGTGTGGAAATACTGTGTCAAAGATAGCACAACTTTTCTAATATGCTTAACTACAACTCTACCAGAGTAATTGGTGCATTAAGTGCCTTCTTCAAGGACACTAGTGGTACAGTCACCTTTATGTAAAACCTGCAGCTTTTGTGTTGTTAGCCACGATTTTCTATCAAAGCCACCACCATACTTCAGCATCGTGTTTATAGTAAAGCTGGGTCATGTGTCATAAACAATAAGAACTGAGCATAAAACTGGTAAACAGTCTTTTAATATGCACAGGTAATTTACTTGGTCACTTCATCCGTATTGTTTTGTGTGTGATCTCCTTTAAGACCTCTGATTCCAATGTCTCTGGTTTTTCAGGTGCTGATCGTCTGTATGAAAATATTGTAGACATGATCGGTTATCGTCCTTTGACAATAATGAAATACAGTTGGAAATATATCACTCCTATTGTGTGTATAGTAAGTGCATGATTCACTCTCATTCACTGGTCATGTGAGGCAAAATGCAGTGATATTTTAGTTCTCCACCAAAGTCATAATTTTATTTATGAACATCAGAGCTCTTTATTATGCATTCAGCATTAATTCAATACACATCTTTGCTTCTTTAGGGCACATTTGTCTTCTCTTTGGTCAAATTCACTCCTCTGAAGTTTAACAACACATTTGAATACCCATGGTGGGGTTATGCTGTTGGCTGGTGGTTTACCCTCTCCTCGACATTGATGGTTCCCATATGGATGATCTATGTCATCCTTATCACTCCTGGTACACTGAAACAGGTAATTCCATGTATAATTTAACAGAAAACAACACTAAGCCATGTTCAAAGCACTGAACCTGCATCTATATGCTTTCACATTTTTTAGAGACTGCGTGTCCTTTGCACTCCAGCAAGCGATCTACCTTTGACATCGGAAAGACGAAAAGAAACCCTGTGACCCCAACAGACAGTACAACATGTCCCATGACTGATAGAGAAACATTGGGGGACCAAAAACATCCTTGGGCTGTATTTTGGACAACTTTTGATATCATTAATGCCTTTGAAGGTACACATTCTCGTGAGATCTCAAGAAAGCACAAACACACACTGTACATGACTGTTTTATAAGTTATTGAATTTTCCTATCTTATATTCTCAATTGCAAGCAACTAAATGTGGATTTAAACTGGAAATGAAAAATATAAGCTCAACTTCCATGTTCGGCTGTATCTGAGGAAAACTCAGTTTGACGTCATTCTTAAGTGTGCTAGCATCAACAACTTACTGTATCATAAACATTCACAAGATATCAGTTCTTCTGAAGAAGATAGCAAAAAAAACTTCTTTTTTTTATCATGAGGGAGTGGACCGGCCCCATTTTGGATGGACCAATGTTCATTACAGTTGGTATAAGATTAGAAAATGTTGGATAATGTGTTAACCTTCAGTTAGAGAGATGAACATTTAGTTCATTTCTTATCCAAATTTGGAATGTAACAGTATTTTAGAATAGTAACTTTATTTTTACATTTTTATGGGTCAATCATGCAACACTTGGCTGTTTTGTGCCTATAGTCAAGTGCTGGTGTTTTAAGAAAGTGTTACAGAAAGTAAATTATGTTGGGTTTTATTTTGTAATAGATTCAAGAGAAAAGATCCATCAAGAAAATAGATCCATATTTTGCTACTTAAATCTGCTTAGATGTACAGTCTGTATTCTATATTCTACAAACTATGTTTTTAGTAAAATGCATAATTTAAGGGAATAGCTATAGATCATTTAAGCTTATGTACATTTGTATAACTGATGCTCTAGAAAGGCCAGTGGTTAATGTTCTAATAAATGCTCTGTTCAAATCAACAGTCAAATGATTGCTGGTTGAAATATGTTGGTGACAGCAGCTTGTTTTTGCTTTTAGAGATTGTTCTGAAGCATCCAAGCAAATATTAAACAACTAGGTAAAAGGTGAAAGAAGGTTGAGTTTTGAATTCTTGGAATAAAGTTGTTGGAGAATAACGTTAGACACGATTGCTGTCAGGCATCACAGACTGCCAGTTGTATACTGTACTGCTGTTTTACTGAGGTGTCTCAATGTGATTTATTAATATAAATAATTAAAAGTGTAGTTGACATGATGACAGTCAATGAAAATCCTACATTTGAACTGCCACTTCATTTGCATGACCACAGGAGATTAAAGTTATATGCAGATTAACGGGAAAAAACTAAATCTGAGTATATATCATGATAGTGGTGGATGGTAGAGTTTAACTTTGAAACTTTTTATCATTTACAAAAATGAAAAGCCAGTGATGATGCTCTTCTTTAGTCTACAACTGGGTTAAAGGATTAAGACCTCCATTTGCAAATAGACACTCTGGCCAAAAAGGCCACCCAAACACTGTTTGGCAGAGGATGAAAGAGCAGAATGTTTGCACTGCTAAACATTGTGTTCCGGGGAATAGAGGGGAATGGATTTCTTGTGATATGGATTTGTAAAGTGAGCCAATTACAATGTAGTTTCATTTGTGAATTATGTCTGTACACATTTTGTTGCTCTTGCACACAGTTTGGTTTCTAAAGCAGAATATTATATATGAGTAATGAAATGCCAAAGTGATTTAATAAACAGAACATTTCGACACTATTTGCTAAAGTGGTTATTTTGAAATAAGTATTTACTTAAATCGTACAAAAATTTTTGCAAATTAATTTCAAATTTAATTTGCATATAGTGACAATTCTTTGACATTTAACTATTGCCACTATATTTACACAACATCACTTAGTTTTTCCAGAGGCCTTTTGTCCCAGATGTGGGGTAAAAGGTCCCTCTAGCTGCCTCTATGATAAACTTCTTTTACCATTACCATAAAAATAGTTTCAAATCTCACACACACATACAGTATATATATATTTTTTTTTTTTCTGAAATAGGACCTTTTGTCTTTCTTGTACCCTTTGTAATAATTTTATGTTCTAAGACACAAATAACTGTTCACAGTTAATGCAACTGATATATGGAGTGAATGATATGTTTACTCTTAGTTTGGTGTTGGTGTGAATTTTTTCATGTTTTTTAAATAAGTCTCTTATTCTCACCAAAGCTGCATTTATTTGATCAAAGTACATTAAAAAGTAACAGCATTTACTGTATTTGAAATAAAAAATATTTGTAACATCATAAATGTCTTAACTGTCTATACTTTTTTTGTCAATTTAATGTGTCCTTGTAAATAAAATAATAAAAATAAAAAATAAAGTTTAAAAAAAGCACAAAAAAA